AGAATGGTTGATTAGCCAATTTAAATAGATGTTGGTTATTATAGACCCAATTATTCTTCTAAAACTGAATTGTCATGTTATCACCTAAATTAATACAAAATTTATATTATAAATTACTGAAAGACAATAAAAAGACTTGGCATAACATATAATTTAAAATGACTATTCTTATGAAATATTTTCTTACTGTTGTTTTTTTCACATTCATGCACAACATTCCGAATGATTATTGATTTTTCAATTAAACGTCATATACCCCATTTTTGAGGTGTATAAGATAGAAAGAAATGAGAGATTATAAAAGAAAGGAAAAATGAAAATGCGATGAATAATATTATGTAATAATAATAAAAAAATAAGACAGAAAAAAGTAAAAACAGTATAATAACGTTATATAATTGGGTAGATTATGGTCTCAATTTTTTAAAAAATTATCATGCAAAAGTTTGAGTGAAAGCAGGACTCAGACTATAAGTTAAGTTAAAATAATTTACGTCAATCAATCCATATACTAAGTGCTAGTTTATTAGGTTGTTTATTGTTCAATATATTATTATCTTAAATGATACACATAAAATATTAGTGTCACTAGTTTTAAAATGACAATTAAACGTATTGTGTGCATGGACATTTTACATGTAGTTGGCTCTTAAGTATTTTATTCTTTTTTTCAAAACTCTTAAATTTTAAGTTGTTTTTGGGTCAACATTAAAAGTATATTTATTTTCCTTTTTAAAAATAGTTTTCTATTTTTAAAAATAAAATATAATACAATAATTATATTTTATTTTTAAAAATTTATTTTTAAAAAGAGAAACAAAATATGCTCTAAGTTTTAAGTATTTTTTTTTAAGGTCAAATAACGTCAAGTTTTAAGTAACTTGTTGCTGTGGCTCGCGTAATCTTTGGGCCTTAATTCTTGAGCCCTTCACGCATAGCAAAGTTCAATAGACATAAAGTGTCCTTTTTTTTTTAACACTTTTTCTGGGCTTGAATTACTGATGTTTACGAAGACCTATTTATGTTTTTTGGGCAACACGAAACCTATTTGTTCAGACCAATAAACAAGACCCTCTTTGTTAATGCTTAATAGGTTAAAATGTTCTCTGGGCTAAAACACAAAAAAGCATAGTGATGTCAGCCCAAACCCAATATGCAACTTCATACAGGCTAGCTCAACAATTTAGTGTTGAAATGGCCTAAAAATAAAGAAGCTCAACAGTTTATTGCTAAGTACAATTTCTCTTTCATTTTAGCGCCAAGTGGCACAAAAAGACACCAACATTCCACATTATATTCTTCCTATTATTGTAACTTTGGGAATAACCAATGTCAACTAGCATTATGCTTAAGTCAGTATCTGTACGTCTTTCACCCTAAAATAGTAAAATCCTTTTTGTCTCCTTTACAAATGTAACCATCTCATTTATGTCAAACTTGCAACTTGACAGCACTGAAAGGTATATATGTTACGGACCAAAAAGATTAGGTACATATATGTTTTGATGGAAGAGAACCAAAGAAAAGGAGCATTTCATAGTTCTTTTAATTCTGAGAGAGAAAAAATTGCTTTGCCCTCATTATTTGTCGTCCATCCTTTTTTTTGTTTGTATGAAATATATACTTGTATTCTATATCATTTGCTTCCTAACATTCAAATATTCATATTACCCAACAAAAAGTTTTAAATGGAGGGTTGTCATCCCCGCCACGGAAGAATATAATATTGATACATCAACGTTCTTCAGAAGCTCTGAAGCGGTATTTTGGAGTGTAAAGGGCTTGCAAAATCAGATTCAAAGGTACCAACAAAGAAGGAATAACCTTTTTCTTTGGTGAAAAGAAGAAACCCTTTTCAGGTGGGAAGAAAAACTTGTATTAGAAGATAGAAACAGATTGTCATTGATTAGCCAAAACAAGAAAAAGAGAAAGTTTTATATCAAAGAAAGATGTGTGAGGACTCTATGATACGCATACTTTAATAATACAACATTGATGCCTCATGCCTTTTCGTTCCTCAACTTTATGGAATTCCTTTTATGTATCTTATATTAAGTGATCAACCATACTTTTTATGAAGAAACTAATTAAGATTTACGCCAGATCGAGAGAGAATGTTAATGAGCTCGATATGAATGAAAGTTATTCTGTGTAGTACCTATCGTCAGATCAATTTAAAATGTCATAAATAGAAGTGAAAAGAGGAGTCCCAATACATAACTATCAATTAGATTTTTAATTACTAAAGTGATCCCTTTTCAAGATTAGTCACTTCTCAATTCTCATAGAGGAATTCTTCAGCTTTAAGCTTATTTCTGTTTAGTTAATTGATTGTTGAACCCTCAAATTGGACCACCCTTATTATTATAGTAAGCCATACAAAAGAGAAATAAACGTCAATGCGTGTAATAAAATTGTACACGCAATTGATATATTTTATTTTTTATTTTGCTTTACGCAGTTGATTTTATCTGGATTTTAAATAAATTATTTTTATAAAAATTTTGATGTCTTTTTGAAGATTTTAGATCAATATATTTTTTGGTTTTTAAGATTTTAGATAAAAATTCAAGATGTTTATAAAAAAACAAAAGATATATTATCAAAACACCAAGTTTTATAAAGATCTCTAAGTTCATATACAGAATCAAGCAAAATTTGTCATCATTAGAATATATAAAAGTTAAATGACCGAATTGGCCCAATCAAATTGATCCGTTACAGTTCAACACATTTGAGTAATGTTTGATTCAACTAATACAATGGTTTGACCCCAGTGGTCCACATTTCCTTTTTTTTTTTTTTTGAAAATAGCGCGAAATGTTTTTATCTTTAAATTCTTCCAAAACGAAAGCTTGAAATTTTCAAAATTCGCAAAATTGTGACTGATAGTCGCTTGACTTGTTGCTGGGATTGATTTCTCTACCTTTCGATATCCCATTTATTCAAACATATAAAAAGTCATTCTATAGTATTCCTTTTGAGGATATTTTTTAAAGAAACTAGCAACCAATTTTAACTTTTGCAAAAAAAAAACATTAAATTTATCTTGTTTTAATTTTCTGCCTTTTACCAAATAAAAAAACTTACAAAGTTGTAATAAAATTTTAGTATATTTTAATTAAAAATGATAAAAAAATTACTTTTGCTTTAAATAGAACTCTTTATTTTTTTTTAGAGAACAATTCTCACATTAACAAGTTAAAAACAAACAAAAAAAGTATTTATAAAAAAGAAATAGGCCATGTATCTTAAATTCTTAAGGATCTATACAACTTTAAACAAATAAGCCACTTAAACTAAAAATATACTTACTAATTTTTGGGCATTCTTTGGTAAATTGTAAGGTTGGATGCCTTCCTTTTAAATATTTGGGCATTCTAGTTTGTATAAATCTCAGTGAGCTTTCTCTCAGCTCTTATCGAAGTTGCTTGAAAAATATTGATGGTGCGGGGAAATAAATATTCCGTTTTTGATGGCTTCATTTTTAAATCGTCATTCTTGTGTATTGTTCAATGTATTTTAATTTTTTAAAAGTTATATTTTAAACAAATAAATAATAATTTTTAAATAAATTACTATTTTTATCGGTACATATTTCACTTTGAATTTAAAGTCATCTTTATGAATAAAATTATATTTTATCATTATTTTACTTTGCTTTTTAGTTTAAATATATTTATTAAATATTAAATTAATAAACATAATTTTATTCAAATAAATATTTAATAAAAATAAACAAGTCGTAACAAGCTATAAACTAAGCTGAAATTAACAAATTTTACGTACTTTAAGTTTAAAATTTAAATTTAACTCATTCAAATAAATTAGTTAAATTTAAATAAATTTTCATGTTTTTCATGTAAAATCTATATATATAACCTTTAATTATTTAACTTTACTGGATTAGTTACATCCTTAATTATAGTATCATTTGTATTCCTGATATATAACCTTTTTGTTATATATATATATATATATATATATAAACTATCAAACCCTTTAATATCTGTGTGTGTGGTCAATATTTTTGGTTATATAATCCAATAATTTAAACTACCATGGGTCCCATCCAAATTTATAAGGATGCAAATGCACTACAATGTTGCCTCTATATATTAAGCAAAATAATTCAATATGTGCCAGAAATAAATGATAAGATATGATATGTTTATGCTTGCTTGAAAAGCCATGCTCGCGTGCAATCACTTGTAAACACTCAACTTGAGTACGTACGTTAATTTCATCCCGATTTGTGGGGATGCTTAGCTCCACGATATAGAAGCTCTACTTTTTGTTGTATTTAATGTTCCTTATTCCAAATACACTATTAGTCAATTATATATCTTGTAGCTATGGAAATAATTTTTGTATAATTTCAAATTGTTTAAATAATAAAACTGTACGTCTAAGATAGAGAATAATATAAACATGAGCATTATGATGAGAATAAAATAATTTTCATTTTGTAATTTTATTGTTTATAACACATTATATTTTGTATATCTATTCATACTAAGTAATCCATTTTTACAAACTATAAGTTATCTTTACGGGTTTAATTAGCATTTTAATGAACATATCCCTTCAATATTTTTAAGGACGGATTTAATTAAGCTTTCATTTTAAGGGTACAAAGTGCACATTCGATTTGATAATAAACCTGCTCTCACTCACTTTATTGCCAAAAAAAAAAAAAAACATAAAATGGTTGTTAACAAAAGTTTTATTTTTATTTTTTCTTAAAAATATTTTTTAAAATATAATTTTTAAAAATTAAAAACCACGATATGTAACCTGAAAATTGACAAGCTGAAAGACGAAAAATCAAAACAGCTAACGTCGTTTACAAATAAAAGTGGAGTGTAAATTACATTAAACAAAAGAAAAAGTGAATATAGTACCTCTTTTATTTTCTTTTTCACTTCGCCTTTGGCTTATATCAAGCTTACAATGGTATAAAATATATTACTACATCAACAAAATCATTGTCAGGAACAAAAGGCATTTAAGTAGTCCCATATCCGCTGAATTCTTCCATGTATTCGCTAACAAAAACAGCAACAAATTATCTAATGTCAAATGTCGCTGAATTTAGTATTTGTTCCTAGTCTCATCAAGCTCAAATAAATTAACAATTTGGGGTTATTAATTAATGTTGAAGCACCTGATTAATAATCTACAAGTTATATATTTTCTCTTCCAATGGTCACTAATTAATCATTTGCTAGCGCACTTCATTCTGCTTGTGCCTGGCCCAGCATTCCCAGCTCAACTTTGAAGGGTCACTTCGTTTGTTTCTTTTCTCACTTTTCCTTCTTTTCATCCTTTGTTTTCTTCAGCTTTTCTATTCACCACTGTGCCTTCACATTTGCTTCATCCTCCTTTTACACATGCAAATAGTTACATAATACGTCATCACTTCTCCACTGGACGAGTCTCTTTGGCTTTATCTTCTCTACCTTGGAAGTGCGCCTCTGAATGTAGGCGTCCAGCTGAAATCAGCAGTGGTTTCTGTTGCCACCGGAAATGTGCTTGAAATCGGTACCAAACACAGCCCTCGGCTTTTCAAATCTTGTTTTGGTCCTTCTGATTCGTTCACATCATCACAGCCCTTCAAACAAAGATACTTATAAATGTTTGAAAATATTCTCCCTTCCAAGAACTTGCTTAAAAAAAGCATAAACATATTTATCGTTAATATTATCTAAATCAGTACAGTCTTTGTCTAAAAATAAATATATGTTAATTATCAACATGAATATCAAAAGTTTAGATACAGTATAATGCATTAAATTAACCTATGATAAAGAAAATTAGTCTATATTAACAGAGCTTATTAAAAAATTGGGTTTAACTCATTTCCAAAGTTAGTTTAAAGGAGAGGATTATCCAAATCTTTTAAGTAGTATTTTTATTCTATTCCTAACCAACGTAAGATATATCAATGGAGGTAAAATTAACTACTACTATTTTTTTATGAGCTAATTTCCTACCGTTACTATGTATCATTTTTATTCGTTATACTGAATCCTTAACGAAGAATCCTACAGCTAGATATAAACATTTTGGAGTACCTGCTGCTGTTGAATGGGAGCTCCACTTTTCATATATGAAGTACTCAAAACCTGGAATTCAAGGCGTGGAGATTTAATTTTAAACACACAACATAAGAAAAGGCTTATGATAAAACTATATTTTTTAAGAATTTATATATGGTAACCAAACAGTTAGGGTTTTCTTTCAAAACAAGGTTCCTTAAAGGAAACATACATTGACTTGATCGTGAAGAAACTTGATGTACTCAATGGCTTCATGAAGAACGGATGCAGTGTCGGTCTGTTTAAGATCAACAAGAATTTGACATCTGGGTTAGCTTTAACTTTTTTTACCTTTCAACGTCTAAAGATAGTAAATGTTTCAATTTTATCATAGTCGTAGCCGCTGTGATTTTTTTTTAAAATAAAAAGTTGAAAGAGACATATCCGAAAAATTCACCTTTCCGAAAGGTGAAACCAATTGCTGAAGAGCAGTGACCCGGTCCCCTAGCTTCTCTTTCCGAACCTGTCCACACGTATATCAATTTGATTAAAATCTAAAGTGTAATTATTATGAAGGTTGAACAATCTTGCATAGTGAAAAAGGTTTGAGATAAAAATATGTATACGTATAATAACGGTACAATACCTTAAAAGTTGGTAATGGGGATGGAGTTTCAATTCTTGGCCTCTTTAATGCTGCTTCACAAACATTTTGCTTCTCCATTGATGCCGAATCTAGAGTTTCTTCACTCTTAAGCTGCACTTCAATATGTATAAATTATAGTCCCACATAGAAAACCCTAGACGTGAATATATTATAATTATGAACTCGAAATTTTATTCACACAAATATATACCTTGTTTAATAGAGAGCTTGGGCAATTGGGTTTCTCTTCAAAAGTTGGAGTTTGATACTGTGATTGTGATGAAGCAGAAGTACCTGCTCTTATGTCGTTAAGTGCCTCGGCCGAAGCATTCCAGAAAGGAGTATTGTTAGAAAAGTGAAGTCCAATAGGGTGTTGCTTTGCAATTGGTGTGGGCTTCAAAAAAGTGGAAACTTTAGACCATATTGGCGGTATTTCATTGGAGGGTGTCCCATAACTTGCTTTTGATGAATAGGACATGGGACGGTTGGTGAAAAGTGGGTGCTGTAGTTGTGGTTGAGGTTCATCATATAAGCTTTGCATCAACGTTGAAGGGCTACCATACGAGGCTGATCCAATTGGGAAACTACGATCTGATATCTCAGTGCTGGTTAAAGAACTTAGACTTCGTTGATATATGGAAAAGTCTTGGTTCATTGGTTTGAAAGTATCAACGGTGGAAACTTGGGTTCCACCACTAGTTGATGAGAAGCTCTTTGGGATCCAATCCCTTTGAATTTGTGAATTAGAAGAATCTATACCCGTTTCTTCTTGAAGCATGGAATGGAAATTGCTCTCTGACCTTCCATTACAACGACTATAGGATAAAAAATAAAATGACAAAATATAAGGACATGGGAAGGAATCCAATAGGGAAAGAAACAGTTAAGAGCTATAGTATACGCCATATATGCTTTGATAAGATGAAGTTCCCTTTTTCAATGAAATCAATGGGAAAAAGTTAAGAAAACTAAACCTTTTTCATCCTAGTGGAAGCTTTGGACCATATACTATAAACTTTCCACTCACACACAAGTTACATATAATTAAAATTGAAATTTCTCTCAAAAGAAAATATTAGCCAACATAATAAAGTATCATATTTTTTTTGTGATGGCCATATATGTGAAACTTACAATAATGGAGGCTGATTCCAATTCGCTGAAGATGGAGATGTGAGGCCAAAACCCATCATCTGTATGGTGGAATCTATCAATATGCTACCACTTTCACTGGCTGATTCACTCTTTTGTGGCTTCTGTGCATCAACAAAACCCAGGTAACTATCAGAAACCAAATTATTGTTAGTCTCTTCAGCAGAACACTTTATTGCCTTCAAATCCATGATATCAGAAGTTTGCCGAGTGCTATAGTTTCCTATATCATTAGCTGCAACAGAACAAGGTGAAGTTGAGCCTAGAGGGAAAACACTTCTTGTTGAATCAATACTACTCCACCAGTTTTCACCACAAATCCTAGCTTGAAACTCCTCAGCCATAGCAAGCTTTTATTTACTCTTCTGAGATTGCTGATATGTTTGTATCTTTGAAATTTGCTTCCTGAGTTACGTGCTCTATAAAAATGGTATCACACAATATAGGCTTGTTGGCAGAAAGGGTTGAAGGTTGAGTGATTTTTATATATGAAGCGGTTGGAAGGGTACGGAAAATGGAGATAACCGGAATCCGGTTGACATTACAACGCGATGATTGGACAAATGAGAGAGAGAATTTTGAATCATATTCCAATTCTTCTTTGTATGTGTGTGTGTGTATATATATATATATATATATACATGTGTGTGTATATATTACATGGCAGTGAGTTTATTTCTGTGATCAGCTTCCTTGGCCGTTTTGTGTTAAATTATAGTTATATCCCAAAGTTTGTGTTTTAAAATACCTTTCTAGTGGAAAATTTATGTTCCTTATGTGTGAAGGGATGTGAGTATAATGATATTCATTTGATGAGATTTGATCTCCTTTCCAGCCATGTCATGATTTGTATAGAACGATACGGTTGAAGTTCTTGAGTAAAAAATAAATAAATTGTTAAAAAAATTAATTTATTTTAGAGGAGCAACCTTTTTTTTTTACATTATCTTTCAGAAAAGTTCTTAAAATATTGTTTCAATTTCTCTTCAGTCAAGTGTGAATTCGATATGAAAAACTGAATTTAGAAAAATAATAAATAATAAATTTAATCATATAATTTATTAAATGTTTTATCTTTTTTTTATCTTTATCAAAAAATTAAATGATTTATCATTTTCTCCCTTCGTGACATTTAGCGTCATGAAGTCCATTTTAATACTTCATTTTAAAGTATATACTTTATTTTAAATGCTACGACAAATAAATTAAATAATAAAAATTAAATATTTTTATTATTTTGTTTGTAATTTATTTATTTTAAAAACAGTGCAATATTTTTAAAAAAGAGCCGAAAGTATATCCTTTGTGCACTTATTTTTCAGCTCCCCTTTTTTTTGTTTTTCACAAATTGCTGACATGATAGACAATTATTATAATCCAAAATCTGTACCCTAAGATAAAATTGAGGACCATTTTAATGGTCCAAAAAGCTATCATTGCAGACGATGTAGTACTAGTACTACTAGCAGGGCCAATAACCTAGTTGGTAATGTACTAATGTTTCCATTCCTTCAAGTGAAAATTGGTTGGCCAAAGCGCACAGGGACGCGCGTGTAGCTCACGTGGGTTAGTGAAACTAAAACCAAATTGAAGAATTTAACATAGGAAAAAGACAATTTGACATTCCAACTAAGTGTATACCCCTTTGGAGAGATGAAAAGAGAAAATAATTTTAAAATTAAAGGTAATAAAAAATAAATAAAGAAGGATATACATATATATATCATAAAATTGTAGACTAATAATTAAAATTAAATTTTTTTAAAATTATGTAATAACTTTTAAAAAAACTGATGACTATTTATAATAAGGTTTAATAATTAATAATACATTTGAGATTTCTGTTAAAAATAATGTTAGTTATAAACTTTGTATTTAAATGTGTGTACACACACAGATATATATATATATAATGACATAATTTTTAAATTAAAAAACAAGTTCTTCACCCATGAGGCGTGATTTAGTTGGCAATACAGGTTGAAATTGTTGAAAGAACTAAATGTTCACTAAAAAATACCCACAGAAAATAGTAAAAAACTTCAGCTATGCTCAAATTTTGAGTCGCAAACAATGAACACCAATATAATGATTGGATGATATAAAAAAAAAACCCTTCAAGAGTCAATTGATTTATTTCATTTGAAATTTTGTCTACTTCTTCAAATGCAATTATCAAGAATAATATTAGGGAGAGAACGACAAAAAAAAAAGAAGTAACTCATCATATATCAGTATTGTTATAGAAGGATTTTCGCCTTTTATGCTTCATTGTATTTTGAAAATTAATTCAATCTTAATTTATCTGTTTTGTGTGTGAAGATTTTGGAGATAAAAAAGGAAAAGTGAAAAAGACTGCTAGTAATATATATTAACAATATAAATTCTTATTTTCACTATTTTTAATATTTAAAATTTATAAACCAGAAACGATATTAAATCTCTTTCAACTGCTGCAATATGCATGGGTTTGTTTCTGAATTAGTTGTTACTAAACGTATTATATATTTGATAGAAACAAAAACAACGTTTGGTGTAATTAAAGTCAACTCCTAATATATGGCATCGAGCCTTTGTTCTAAGCTTCTTCAGTTTAGATTCTGATATATTAATATTGTCATTTTGACGACGGACTCACTTACCCATTTGTTGGTCGTTTTCAAAATAACAATCAATTAATTAATTAGGTACAATGAGATATATGAGACCAAAATTCTTGAGAGTTGTTTGAGGAGTGCCCATTCAGCCATTAGCTAGAAAATGAACGTTTGAATTAATTTATATAGTTCAAAATATTTTTTTATTAAAACCTTTCTTTCAATACCTAAAAAAAGACTTCTTATGTATTTAATTCAAAGTTCTGTTGCCTATTTTTATTAACTTTTGTTTTATTTAATTCTTTTACCGAAGCTTCTATTAATTCTCTTCTCATCTCACCATACCATATTATGCAATTTTCTATCATTTGTTCTTGAATTAAACATAACTTTAATTCAGTGTAATATTCCGCAATATTCAATTAAAAGTGTATCTCCATGAATAACTTGGTCAAACTAACTTTTTAAAAATCTTCAATTTTTTTAAGATATCATTGAAAACGTGATTCAACGTGCATCCTAATTAAGATTTAAAAACTAATCTCTTAATACTACTCTTTTAAAAGAAATTTAAATAAAAAAATATTCCCAAAGATACCTCTTCCCCACGTTGATTAATACTATGCTGCAAATCATAACATCCAGTAGATATCAATTTTAATAATTATCAAAATGCAAAATATATATATATATATATATATATATATATATATTCAAAATTAAATACCTGACAAAGTTAAATAAAGAAAAGAAATTACAAACAGTAAAAAAAAAATGGAGACATGGATCTAATACCCTAATAAACATTATGCCAGATCCACAAGACCATGCATGTCTTCTTTGAAATCACGAGGAAACTGAATTATATTAAAATTTTATTGTTAGCTTGTGCTATACCCTACTCCCAAAGCATCGATACATACGTTGAATTATATTTTTAACAATAATTTATTTAATTGTTTATCTAATTGACTTAATAAAAAAGCATTTACTCGTTATATCTTTTAGTAACTTATATTTTAATATATTTTAATTGATTAATAAAATTTAATCTATTAAAAATAAAATTCAATACATGATGTCACTTAAAAATAATTTAATCAAATTTTTTATTTTTAACATTTAACATTAATTTTTTCATATTTTTTATATATAATAACTATTAATAATTTTTTATTAAATTTTATTTATAATAATTTTATTATAAATATATAAAATAATATATAAATTTATTATTTATATATAAAAGTGTCTCTAATAACCGATAAAACAGTAACACCGCACTCATCGGAACAGGTTTCGTACGTTAATATCATTATTATCATGTCATCGCTGTTTAACAGTGTCAACATCAAAGCACTTCTTTGAGTTTCATTGAGATACCGAACAAACGTCTAATATTCGAAAATTTCTTTCTGCACTCTCTTTTTAATTACATTACTCTTTTTCTAGAAACAAATTTTCAAAAGTATTAATTAAAATCAAAAGTGGAACAGGAATGAGTGAATTATCCATGTTTTTCCAACTCCAACAAAAGTGGAAAATTTATTTATTTCATCTTAACTTGCTCAAACGCGATCCAAACCCCTTTCACCATATTACCATGCCTAGTTTTATGTTAATAGTGCTACTGGAATGAGGAAGCAAAATGTGACATCAATTATAGTTTTATAGGTTATTATTTTTTTCTTATAAGGTATTATACAGTTTATACTTCAACATAACTAAAAGGTATTATATTCTAACACAATTAAATAAGATTCAGATTCTCTTTTATTTACACAATCTTTTATTTACACGGAAAGTAAACTTCCACTCTTAAATCGGCAGAACAAAGATCACAATACCAGCCTATAACTGTTAAGAGGTAGATAAGTGAAGAGGCCACTATTTACTTGCTTCTCCCGTTCTCTAATTCATCTAATTTACCTCGGTCTAGGGGCTCAGAGGAGCGTGAGAACAAAAAGAGCAGGGTGGGTGAGGACTAGGGCTGAGGGAAGCAAGGGAGTGAGAGGAAGGGGAGGAGGAACTTGGGAGTGGAGGGAGAGGAGAAGAACGGAACTTGTATAGGAAAGAAGGAGCTGAGATGAGAAAAAAAAAAAAGGAGATTCGCATAAGCAAATCTTAAAATCTAAAACCGAACGTCCAATTTCCCTGCGCGAACCTGTTTGCGATTAAATATGGCCAACTCCATGCTGCAGTAGGACGCCAGAGTATGACACATAATAATCGTTGGTAAGTCGCATGATAGATAATAGATTTTCTACTTAAGAAATTCGAAGACGAGAGAAAAATATAAACAAACAACATTCACCGATAACATTGTTTTACACAGAAGTGAACCTAGTATAAACGAGCTATTCGCTAATCAACAGATCTTCGGGGAACGTATGTGTAATACTGCTATTTATTGGAATACAACAAATATTGTATAACTACTATATACTACAAATTTACTATCCCCAAATCGAGTAAATATGTTATTCCTGCAACACTTTATTCTAATTACTTTTCTCATTTAGAAACTTCTTTTAATCTAATTTCAAAGAGATATTGAAATTAAGAAAAAAAAATATCAATACAAAGTTCAGTATTACACCTAAAAGACTGAATTTTACGGTATAATACTTGTGCAATTGTAAGAAGACCTTTAAGGAGTACGAGTATTATTAATTATATCAGACGGCGGGAACAGTACAAAAGTTCATCGAACCAAGATTGACGAGAAACATTTATCAAATATGCAAGAGATGAAAATCAGAGTAACAAGAACTTTCAATATGACTATAATATCTAAATCAACTCGCATAAAATAGTTGGCGAACACATTGAGTCAAGTACAATAAAGTTAAAAAAACAGATTAAGCTAAAATTCAAAATGCCACAATAAAGTCTGGCAAGAGAAACAAAACACGGTGACAAAAAAGATAGCTCCATCCACGTACAATAGCAACCTCAAAGCCTTCTACCCCTCCTACCACTCTTTCTACGGGTGCTATCTGAAGGAATTGGGGTCACGTCCTCTGAAATTTATTTTAAAATAAAGTCATAGAAATTAAAACAGATCAGAAAACCTAACTAAGAAATAGATTGACATATGCATAACAAAAAGAAAAATAAAGTAAACAGGGATAAAATTACTTCATTATATATAACTCAAACAAAACAGAAAGACGTAGCATAACAACTGCTAAACATTGGAGGCAAATCAAGCTTAGAAAGATATCCTGAAAATATACCTATGCGACCAATTTTCATTCCTGATCGAGCCAAGGCTCGTAGAGCAGACTGAGCACCAGGACCAGGTGTTTTTGTCTTGTTACCCCCAGTTGCGCGTAGCTTAATATGAAGAGCAGTTATGCCCAACTCCTGCTCAGAACCCCCAGAATCAAATCAACAGAATTCGACATTATGCAGAAAATATATCAATATGAAATTACAATCGATACTCGTTAGAAATCAAGACAATCAAACGATTAGCATTTTACCAAATTATTGATGAAAAGCACCCTCTGACCATAAAAGTAAACATGAATAACTAGGCAATAATAAATTAAATTACCTTACACCTGGCAGCAACATCTTGTGCTGCAAGCATAGCAGCATATGGAGATGACTCATCTCTGTCAGCTTTAACCTTCATTCCACCTGAAGGTCAAAAGCAAAGAAGCAAATTACACAAGAGAATACCACAGCACTGTATACATTATTCAGTAAGAAAATCACACACTTAATAACGTTGACTGAAACAAAAATGGAAACTAAGTTTTGTTTTGCAGATTGTGAACATCTATAAAGATAATGTAAAACAAAATTAAAAATAACAATAAATCTTCACTTTCAAAATAAACCTTAGGTCAAGAACTAGTTCAAAGTTAAACAGTTTGGCAGAGCCAGAGTTCCTCAGCCCACACATAAAAGTCTTGCAAAAAAGTGATACAATTTGCGGAAGGAAATGCTAGGGAAAAAAGAACACACTCACATTCTAATTTAAAAAATAATAGATTGACTTAGATTGATTATGGAACTATATCAAAAATTAAAAAACAATTCAAAACTTAACAAGAATATGTAGCCACTTAACAAGAATCTTAGCTGAATCAATTCAGGGTTTCCTTCCAAGCAATGTAAAGAGAAAAACACTTACCAGTAATGCGGACAAGTGTTTCCCTTCCAGACAAATCAGTCACATGCTACAATCACACAAATAATCCAATTATAACAAGAATTCCGAAACCTGATTCAAAATGGATGAAACTAAAAATCTGAATATACTCACAATGAAGGTGTCATTAAATGATGCAAAGATGCGAGCCACACCAAAAACATGTTCACCGTCTCTGACAGCAGGACCAAGAGTCACATTTTCCTCCTTTGGCTCCCTAACCTTTCTCTTTGACTACAGTAGAAAAACCACAACTTGTCAGAAAATTGAATGCATCATGCATCCCCAAAGATTAAACAAGAAAAAATTATCAACAACTTCACTTTACTTAAGAAAGGTCCATCATCGACTCATTCTCAAGAATTACTACACCAACCCCTTCAATTTCGTTTTACCAGCTATTAATTTTAATGGAGTTCAGTTAACTAATCAGATCTTAAATGAAGAAACAGAGACAAGGTTCCAAAATCTAAATCAAATTAAATTCGACGCTCAATCACCATGACAAATTAAGATCAAAAGACTCTAATGCTCGGCAAAAAAAATCTACTAAAAATTAAAATTTCAATGCAAGCAAAGCACATATGAAAAAGACTACAAATGTTCCGGCAATTAGAAGCAACAAGATTTGACTTTCTAAACTGAACACAAAAGTCAAGTACAGAGCTTAGATACCATGGCTGATGCTCTCTAGGGTTTTTGGATGAGCCTTCGGAGTTCAGATCAGAGTGCAGACAGACGGCTTTCCCTTAATATGAGGCGGTGGATTAGGGTTTTGATGTGGGAATAAAGGATTTGCCATTGGACTTGGGCCCTTCCCTTCAAACCCAAAAGAGAATATAAGTGATTTTGGATGGGCCGCGTACTTATAATTCGAGCTTGGGCTTCAAGCTGTTGTCAGGTTGGGTAAAGGTGCAACTTTACCCTCAACTTGCATTCAGGTCATTTCAAATTCTATATTAGACACAGTCACGAAGGATAGGATCAAAAAGTCTAGAATTAATTCCAACATAAAATTTAAAGCTTAAACTGTGAGTTAAATTAAGCTTAGGTTACTTAACATATGATTGGTAAAAAAATATAGTGTGTGGAATATATAGAAGTGACTTTAAACCTTTTAAATTTTAATAATAAAAAATTTCATAAATTTTATTTAAAATTTATCTTCACTTAAATAAATTTTATATATTTTATTATAATTTACTTATCTTTTTATTAAAAAATTAATTTAATAATATACAATATATTATAAGTACTATAAAAATAATTATATATTTAAAATTTCATTATTTTTTAATCAATTTTTAAATATATTTCTAAATTTTTATTTTCAAATTTTAAAATAAAATAGTGATATCACTAAGTAGGACTTCATTGGATTAGTTAGAAAAATATTGTTAGATTTAATAAAAAAAATATTTGTTAAGTATCAACATTTTATTAAAGACAATTTAGAGTATAACAGGTACTCCAACCCGTTACAATTCTAAATTTCATATAAGTTATATGATGTGAGGGTGAAATAGATCATTTGTTGATGTGTTAATTTTTTTAGAGATAGCTCATAATGCTTTAGACTAGTAGAACGACGTGATGTGAAACCTGTAAGCAAGCTGATGGATGGATAGATTCTAATGTCATACGAGTATTTGGTGATGATTGTTCTTTAGTTTTTATAAGAATAAATAGGCAAAAAATATTACACTGACAAATTTATACCTAATATTCTCATCAACGACTAATAAGGAGGCATGAGTGGTAGATAATTAACGATTTGAAATAAGTCAACGGTTGTGAAAATTTTCTTGGAGAAGATAATTATTTTTATGAGAGGAGGATTTACAATAATAGTTGTGGAAGATTACGGAGGATAAGAAGTCGAGAAAAAATGTGAGTGACATGTTGATTTGGAAGCGTTATGGTAATAAAAATATAGTGTGCAATCCGCTTATCACTACATTCATTATTTTTTCATTGCAAGTAAAAGTTTGGAGCTATGTCTAATGCAGGCCTTACACAAAATTTAGAAAGTCAGTGCGTCAAGAAAGGTAATAATATTTATTTGGCGTCTGCTGCAAATGCAATTTTAGTAAGAAAAAATTTGACTAAACGTATATTGATGATTCCCTCAAAAGCTTGTGAATTGTGTGATACCAAAAATGAGGACATACTATATCTCTTTTTGCATTATGATATCTTTATGAGACTATGGTACATAGTGTTTAATTGGTTTAGTGTCATTTTATGCTTACTTGAAAATTTATACGAGACATTACTGAGCATGTGTGGAATCCAATGTGAAAAAAAAAAATTAGAAGAGAATTGTATTGTTGTGATTTGCAATAGTATAGACAATTTAATTTCAGTAGAGTAATATTTTCTTCAATAACAGTGTATTAAATGATAGGAAAATGTTTAATTCTATTATGTATAGTTCTTGGAAGTGACTTGTAGCGTCATGTCATATAGGTTCGAGTCAGACATCTAATTGGTTCAATTTGAATTATTCGGAGGATATCTTATATATTCAATAAAAAAAATATGGACAATCAAAATCTATTTCTCGATTCAATAGAAGCCAAAAAAAAGGTGAATATGGTCCTAAATAATGAGAGATATATAAAAAGCAAGTCTTTAAAAGATCAATTATGTATGTGAATTGAATTAATTATTCATTGACATGTATTGTTAATTCCTTTTAAAGTTATAACAAATTAGAGTACTTCTTATACTCTAAATTATGTTTAATAAAGTGGTGATTCTTAAAAAAAAAACTATTTTTTAATGTCACATTTTGTGGAGCTGGAATTTCATTAGAGGTAGCATAAAATTTCTTTTATAATTATTCAAATAAGATGAAGTTTCTTCAATAAATATATATATATATATATATATATATATAATAAATTTATAAATAGTTATTATTTAAAGTAATTTTGATCACAATTATTTTGCTGATGAATTATTTGTAAACAATAAATTTCACCAATATAAAAAATTGACAAACAAAAAATTTATTAAATTTTAATATATATATTTCAATATATATATATATATATTGTTTATAAAATATATATTTACAAATATTTCATGTATTTAAAATTTATTATATATGAACATATCATTTTATTCAATACTAATTTAATAAATTTAATATTTATAAAAAATTAGTAAGTTTACTGTAACACGTATATTATATGAGAGAGAAAGAAGTGCTAATAGACACAACCTAAAGCGTGCGCGCGTGGCATTCTCTTCTCACGAAAGCAACTGCTCAGTCAACGTGGCTGTTCCTTGTTCATTTTTTATTAACTTACCCAGTAAAATAACACTATTTATTGTTATAAAATTACTTTAATTAATTATTTTATCACTAAAAGAATTATATTTGAAATACCATTAAAATTTATTCTAAACACAAGCTAATTAACTATTAAGATTTTGGATTTTCATGGAAAATGTTAAGTGTGTATTCACACTTATTAGAGGTGAAAATAAATTTGGTTAAGCTATAATTTATAGGGTTTAATATAATTTATGTTCCAAATTTAAAGCTTCAATCCGTCATGTTTACATGAACATTATTACTTATAATATGAAAAGCAAAAATTAAATTGTTTTACAACATAAATAATAATAAAAAAAGGAGAATAGAAAAAATAGTTGTATTAACCACAACAATAGAAATGGTAATACAGATAGCAAGATATAATTAAAAAATTAATAATAGCAAAAGTAAAAGTATTAGTAGCAATTATAATAACAGAAAAAGTAACAACTATGTTATTATTATTATTATTACTATATTATTATATTTGGTAATAGCAGTAAAATAATAATAGTAACTGGGGTGTTTATAACCTGTTTCATTCCACTACTCTGACCTAGTGTGAGGTTAGTCTTTACAAATCACAAGTTCAAGTTTTCAAATTTAAACTCGATATTTTTTAAGGAGGAGTTTGTTCAAATTATAATTCAGGTTGTTCTAAGTTAGCTTTATATCATCTATTTTCTTAAAAATTTATACTTGTTAAAATATAATGTATTTAATGATAAATTTTAAGATTAATAAAAAATATATTTTGCATATCAACATATTTATAATGACATTTTTTAAAAATATACAAGGTAAAATATATTTTAATTTTATACTTCATTAATTCAATAATTTAGCCACACATAATCTTAAAATTGATATATTTATTCATAAATTGTGTTAACCTAATCTTGATTCAATATTATTATCTGATCTTGATTTAGGTAGATTTAAATAAAAAAAATTAATCATATTCAATTTTAAGTCAAACAACTTGTCACAATTTGTTCCACATACATCCTTAATTAGTTAATAATAATGTTAGGTTAGTTAATAAATAATTAGATATCATTTAATTTTATTTTGTCTACAAAGAAAGAGTTATTGTCGTAAGTTTAAACTAATATTATAAAAAAAAAATGGTTTTTTCATCTTCTAATTATAGGATAAGTTTCAATTTTGTCTTTTATTTTTTTAATTAATTTATATTCTTAAAAATATATTTTTTCATAATAATCTTTTATATTAGTTCTATTAAATAACTTAATAAAAACACCTTTTAAAGATCGCTTACTTAAAACACATTTAAGGGAGATAAATTATTACTATATTAAAGAAAAACTAAAAGATTGAAAGTGAAAAATCTATTCATGAAGCAAAAATTTTAGTACGATAGAAACTTTTTTGTGACAAATAATTAGAAATTTGAAGTAAAATTGAATATCAAATTTATAAGGAATGTTTTTATGTTTGAAATAAATTTGTTATGTTAGCAATTCTTTTTTAGAGTTTCTAGTTCTTATTTTCCAGGAACATAATATAATCCATTATTTCCATTATTCGACATTCAGTTTATGATACAAATGTTACTTGCTGATTTTTTGGACCAGTACTCTACGATTTGGACTCTATAACGGACATAGTTGTATAATTATTTCATAAGCTGGACAAAGTTGTATAAGTATTTCATAAGCTCATTTATTTTAGATCATTGAATCTGCTCATCTATTCAGATTATAACACACCATCATGTTTTGAGTGAGTGAGAGTTTGAAAAACTAAAACTATCGCGAACCAATCTTGCAAGGGTTGGAGATTAATTGATAAATATAAAATAAAATAGTTTATATTTTTTAAAATTAATTTTTTATAAGTTATTTAAAGAAACATTTAGATTTCAAAAGTTAATAATTAATATTCTTCTTGTTATTATTTGTATCTTTCAATTTTTTTTGAAAAAAATAACTTACATTTTACACAATTAAAACCTTACATATATTCGTTAATCTCTAAACATTTTTATTAATAAGATGTTTTAAAATTTAAAATTTTGAAAACAATTCAAGTTAAAATTTGATAATATTATAATTAATAATTAAGATTTAGTTTAAACAAATTTCATATGATTAAACAAATAATAAGATAATCTATAAATTTATTTAAAATGGATGGCTCAAGTTTATATTATAAGAATCATTTTTCTTAGTTTTATGTATTTTAAATATATATTTTTATAATATTTTATGTTAAAAAATATGCATGAAATTTTTTTTTCTGTATAATTATTTAGTTAATTAATTGATAGTAAATAAATAAATAGATAAAATAAGTGATATTTAATTTTAATATTATATTAATATAATACTATATGTCCCTCAAAATAATTTAAGATAAATTAATTTAGAAATTTTAATTAATTTCATTGTTAGAAGTTATAAATTTACAGCTTTGATAGTTAGAAAAGGATAAGAGAATGGTAATCATTGTGCCTAAAACAAAAACAAGAAAATATAAGATAACATTGACAGGAAGGAAAAGACCGAAGTTAAATAATCAATTAGTGTGACATAGGCTGATTGGTTCAACGCGATGCGGCAATTGATAAACTGTTTTGACGACTATAAAACAATGTTTAATTTGGTATGTTTTCTTTGTTTGCCGGTGCTTCTTCTTTCTTAATTATTATTTGAACGTCCCTATAGTATAAATAATCAGGTTCAGTTGAACTACTTATATAATAACTCGTTCTTTCTCAGTTTTATTTGCTAAGTACCGTTCCTTTTCCCTGTTTGTTCTTCCCAATTAAATTATCATTGACATACAAGTTGGGCATTATGGGTTTTAGATTTATTAATGTCATGATGTAACTTGCACCTAATATCGAGACTCAATGATCAACGTCTCTCTCCATCCATTACATACATGACTTCAAACTATAATACCTTCAATTCTTTATCGATTAACGTTAGTGGTTTGCATTTAAAGAAATCGACTACTAAGAAGTTGCCTTCAGTAGCCCATAGAAAGCTCATGGCCCAATTCAATTGGTCTATCCTCTAGCTATTCCGGCAAAGTATTAACACGGGTCTGTGATTCAAAAAGTAGGCCTTTTTTCTATAAAAGTTCGAGTATCAAGGAGATGGACTGTTATGAGATGATAAAGTTAACATGCGGATTATTTGGATTATGTTTCATGTCAACTAACATAAATTTTATGTAAAGTTGGTATATCAAAACTTTGCATTACTTTTATGTATTAGAAATTTTAATTTTTTTAAAAAAAATGAAAATAATAATAAAAGATGTTTGGAGTCAAGTATGAAAAAAACTTAAGAACAATAAACATAAAAGATTAAGTAAAGATAAATTTTTGAATTCTCTAAAATTAAGTAATTTTAATTTTGTTATTTGATATAAAAATTATATAATTATAATTTTATAGTATTTTAATTTTTTTTTTCTATTCAACTACATAAATTATAAAATTTTTAAAATATCCTATCCAAAAACAACCTAAAAAGAAATGTTTTAAGAAATCCTAGCCGTTTTTAAAGTAGTCTCTCGGGAAGATTACTGTAATAGAAATTCCAATTAGATGAAATTCTAATTAGGTCTCTTATCTCATTTAAGATATTTTGAATGTCCGAAGAATGCACATCTTTTTTGGCATCCTCTCCTTAAGATTTTCGTTGTGTATGCGATAGGCATGTGACGACATATTAAATTCTTCATGTTTTATGAAGTATTGAATTTTCTATCTCATTAGCATCCTTTAACCACGGATAAATTAAATGTTCGAAAATATTTTTCACTTTCCGAATTTTTCACCCATAACCCATCATTAATTGTTTAATAATATAAAATGTAAATAGAATGCATTAATAATATACTTTTTTAATATTAATTGCTGTCTAATTATAAATTATTCTATATTTCTTTTCCTTTTTAGCTTTTCTGAATGTATGGTGTAAGATTAATATCCTTCAGCAAAATGTTTTGTGCTCTAAGAGTGTGTATTTATTCTATTAAAATGATGATACTTGTATATATTGTGATTAATATTCGGTCAATTGCATTATATTATTTTCTATATTTTTAATTTCTTTCTATTTTTCCTATTTCTATTTAAATATTAAAATATCTAGATATGTATACCAACTAATAAAAAAGAACATTTTCCTTTAATTGTATTCCCTTTCCAACTTTGAAATTTCAAATCTATGTGCTTCCCGGTTTCAATTCCCCAGCTATACATCAGAAACGCAAGGGTATAACGGTCATCTCGGTGACCATTGATGCCAACTCAGATGCTATGAACACTGAGGGTCCATTTTGGCTCGAAACAACATTTCTGTCACATCAATCAGTGCACAAATTTCAAAATAAAACCTTAAAAACCTGAAAAGCACTGTTCTCAAATCATGACATTCTACCTCGTCACAATGTCGCTGACACCCAGATCCTCTGTTCCCATGTTCCTCCTCCTCGTTCTTCTCCTTCCTTTGGCAGCAGATTCTTCTCTTCACGAAGTTCTCCATAGCCATGGCTTGCCAGCAGGGCTCTTCCCTCAGAGTGTAAAGTCATACAATTTGGACCACACGGGTGGTTTGGAGGTGCACCTGGATCGTCCCTGTTTGGCTCAGTACGAAACAAGAGTGTTCTTTGATAGTGTGGTGAGGGCTAACCTCAGTTTTGGACAACTCAAAGTGTTAGAGGGCATGTCGAGGGAAGAGCTTTTCTTGTGGCTACCTGTGAAAGATATCATAGTGAGTGATCCATCGTCTGGACTCATTGTTATTGATATTGGTCTTGCCTATAAACGCCTCTCTTTGTCTCGGTTTGAAGACCCCCCAATTTGTAGATCTCAAGGTACCTCCTCTGTCTAATTGGCTGTCCTTGATTAATTATGATTTGTCTTGAAATCAATGGAACATTTTAATCATGAGTTTATTATTATTATTTGCAATGAGAAAAAAATACGTGTTGATATAGAAATTGAATATGGAATATGCAGGTCTTGAGCTTAAGATTGGAGGAAGGAAGGGTGTTGGTTTTGAAATTCAGAGATGAAAGGCTGTTAGTTTGTGTGAAAGGATGGATTCGTCCCGTATTTCAACTTTGGGTTCTTTCTTTCCATTGGGAAGAGTTGTGTGAAGAAATGTGCAAACCCGAAAAATATGATGCCATCCACTAATTGCATCAACTCACTGGATTGTCAATGTTATACCGTCCAGAGAAGAAATAATACCTTCCGTCCGTTAAGATCAACTTTGAAACTATGAGTTGAACTCTAATTCAATTCTAGAAAATACATGTTATATATATATATATATATATATATATATATATATATATATATGTAGTCATTTGCTTTGTTTTTCAAATTCCAGAATTTCAATGTTTCGGTACTTTAAGTTCAATCAAGTTTGTTTCACCTATCATTCGTCTTCATTATTTAGATAAAAGGAATTTAAACCTGGAGAGCAGATTGATAAAATTAATTTATAAGGAACCAAATCCATATATAAAAAAAGGAATATTTTTTAAAGACTCAAATAGGATTTTATTAATTCCAAAATTTTTTACTTATCTTCAAAGATCTTGAATTTAAGAAATTTGTTAATTTATCCAAAGGATATAAATTATACAATGAAGTAGTACTCATTCTTTATATTAAACACGGGGGATAAATTGTTCATTACTATACTTGTGTATTTTCTTAGGCAGACTACTCGAAAGCTTAAATATAATATATGTTTGCTGTGTGGACAAAAACACAATATAATGTTTTGTCCTCTTTAGTTTAACCTTTTTTAATGAAACAATCTCATGTCCTTTTTCTCTCTTGTTTTGAAAATGTATAAAAAAAAATCATTTCAAAAGCACGAGAGTATTGTGAACCCTGATTTGATCACTTAGATGCTGTGGGGCCACATGGTGTGGGGGCATGTTGCTCATGATATGAGGAGTTACAATGCCAGGCTGGTGGGGTAGGCTGTGGCCTGTGGAGAAGCAAATGAATGAGCTGTTGAATTCTTTCATGAAATTAAAAAGGTGGGTGTCAAGCCTCAACGTTTTAGCGTCAATTTTCTTTTGCCAAAGTTTTGTGAATGAGGGTAATTTAGGTGATGCAAGGAGTTTGGTAAATTATGAAATTGTTCACAAATTGTAAGATTTTAGCCTCCAATATTCTTCCCTTTCGCTCTGATTCTCCCTAAGCTCCTGAGTCATATTTGACGTCATTAGTGGCCAGCTGGTGGTTCTTACATACAAGCATACAACACGTTTATACAAAATTATCTTTGCAAGCATATATAGTTTTGAATTTCTCCCAAGCCTGTTAAGTTAGCCCAATGATAATATAAATTAAAATCCATTTAAATTTGGTGGACGAATGAATAAGAAATAATTAAGCTTTTCAATTGCTCTGTGTGCCACTGATTATATCTAGCAATAACTCTTCGGTTTGCTGAACTTCACGTGTTTTCTCGTCCAAGCCCTGGAAAATAGCCAATCAACTTCTTAAGAAACGCATATTGTTCAAATTAAAGTAAATAATATACTTGCGTGTTGTAAATTATTCTCCTTTCATGATAATGTAGTTGTATTCCTAGCTTTACAAGTGTCATTACCTGCATGCAGGTTGTAATAAGAAAGGCTCCATTTATAGTTGTTACATTGGTATCTATCAGCTCAATGCCAGAAGTATTCATGGTCTCCATCAATTTCTTGAACCTTCCCCTTTTCTTCTCAATGATCATCTTCACCCACATTTTATTCCCACCAATTTTTGTCACCTGAACCTCTTCCTGTAAAAAAAGTAACTACGTCAAAATTTTTTAATTATAAAGAAGATTGATTTATTTAATTAAAGGAAGTAACTTGAATCAGTGTTCCCCATTTCTTCATCTCTTCTGATGCATTAAATTCATCTCTCTTTGGCTCTGTTATTTCCTCCGAAGTTGCTTCCATTTCTTGAAGCTCTTGGGTGAGACTCTGAACTTTGTCTTGCAACATGTTGATGTAAGTGATGGCATCCTCAACAATGGTTGCTTTGTTCATCTGAAATCAAAATTGGGAGTCATAATTAATTTCCATTCCATCATTTAGTGTACTAATTAAAAACTAATAAAAGGAAAAAAAATATTGAATAAATCATTAAATAAAGTAAAGTTTAGGTGGATGCATTTGTGATGATGGGTACTAAAGACCGCAGCATCAATAGCCTGGAACTAAGCTTCTCCCTCCTCTTCCTTTCCGTTTCAAGGTTCTTAGATTTGAAGACTTTGGTGTCATAATCATAGTTATTTCTCCTCATCTTTCCCCTGTTGGTAGCGTTTTCAGCATCAAAACCTAACTCATCTAAGGACACGTATAGTCTATCTTCATATACTTGTCCCATTTATGGAAAGTGGGTCTTAGCAAAGGAGAAAAAGGGTATTGAAGAAACTGAAAGTGAAAACCGAGTGGGTGGCTGCTATTTAAGTGTTTCTTACAAAGGCATCATGTGTTTTGAGAGGCTTCTCCATGGTCCCAAGTTAATCCAGGCGTTTCTTATGAGAGAGAGAAAGATATTGAGTTTAGGCCAATCAAGTGTTAGTTACAACTTACTTGTTTGGACTTGGAGTGAGTAGTTCTGTTACAAAATCCAATGCTGAGTCACATTATTACTTTTTAGAAGAAATCATTTATTCAGATGTGAGTAGTTAAAAATTTGAGTGATTTGAGTTCTGTAAGGCTATAATTGCAGTTCTCTAATTGACTGCGAAGGCACAGTTAGGAGAGTTTGTTAGAGCACAGGAAGATATTCAACGTGATATATGTAAGTCCAACTAGTCATGTGGGGTGCTGCCTTTCACAAGGGCAAGACGCACAAATGCGTGGCACAAAACACTCCCTGACATGGAATTAATTAACTATATAGAAAATAAAATATGATTATTTAGAAGAAATATGAGATATAATATGTATAAAGGATGTATATTACATAATTCCTCTAAGGGAAAAACAATCAATAATTTCGGCATGAAAATGATTCAACATGTAAAATAAAACTCCAGCAGTATGAAATTCTAAAAAATTTAACCAAACACTGAATAAATGTTGGAGAATACAGATATAAATTGACAAGCCATATAATTGGGAAGAATAACACTAGTTTTGTAAAAAACAACAGTATTAAAATCTTACGAAGGAGTACAAGTGTGCATGTTTTGTTCACCAATCGTTTCATACAAAACGCCATTATTATTGTTATTATTTGTGAAAATACAAAATGTCATTTCACTTCGGGAACACGTCCAAAACAACTATGGACCTAAAAAACGATCGAAACGGATTGGGCCATAGAGGACGCTCCAAGCCCAATTATAGAAGAAACAATGGCTCCTCTTACGTAGTGCGGCACACTCATTAGACCTTGTTTACCCCAACACTCTTTTGTTCCAGTGTTACAGAAGAGAAATACAAAGAAGCCACAATGTATCGCGTTCTTCAGCGAACTCTGTGTACCTCTACAGAACCAGCCACCCGCAACATAAAGTCAATTTCGCAGGATCTGTTCAATGAAGTGAATTTAAAGAACGTGGTAGAGAAGTTCAAGAAAGCTTCCGACGTGGACCGGTTCAGAAAAAAATCCGGCATCTACGAAGTCACGGTTCGGCGCCTAGCCGGCGCCAAGCGGTTCAGGTGGATCCGAGACATCATCGAACACCAAAAGAACTACTCCGACATCTCCAGAGAGGGTTTCTCCGCACGCCTCATTTCCCTTTATGGCAAAGCCGGCATGTACAGACACGCGCACAAGCTGTTCGACGAATTGCCTCAACGAAACTGCGAGCGCACAGTTCTCTCTCTCAACGCCCTTTTGGCCGCTTATGTTCACTCCATGAAGCACGGCTCCGTAGAACGCCTTTTCAGGGATCTTCCCAACCAGCTTAAAATCGAACCCGATTTGGTGTCTTACAATACTTTCATTAAGGCATTGTGTGAAATGGGTTCTTTTGATTCAGCATTGTCGGTGCTTAAGGAGATGGAAGATAAGGGTGTTAACCCTGATTTGATCACGTTTAATACTTTGCTTGATGGGTTGTACTCGAAGGGTCGTTTTGAGGATGGTGAGAAACTGTGGGGGCAAATGGGTGCGAAGAATGTTGTTCCTAATGTAAGGAGTTACTGTTCCAGGTTGGTGGGGTTGGCTGAGGAGAAGAAAACGGGTGAAGCTGTTGAGTTTTTTAAGGAAATGGAGAAGGAGGGGCATAAGCCTGACGTTATTTGCATCAATGCTATGATCAAAGGTTTTGTGAATGAGGGTAATTTGGATGAGGCTAAGAAGTGGTTTGGCGAAATTGCAAAATATGATTGTGACCCTCATAAGGCCACTTTCGCTATTCTCCTTCCTTTCCTTTGTGAGAAGGGTGATTTGAAGACAGCCATTGAGATGTGCAAGGAGAGATTCAATAACCGGCGCCTTGTTGCCGCGTCGTTGCTGCAACTTGTGGTGGATAAGCTGGTGAGTGAGTCCATGATTTCAGAGGCAAAGGAGATTGTGGAACTAGGGAGAACCAATCGGTACTGTCGCTATAAGCTTAATTTACCAGCGGATGAGTAGAGTTTTACCAAGTGTAGTAGTACTTTATTATTGCTCTTGCACTTTATATGCTTTTGACTGAATTGGCAATTGCCTTAGAAAATGGATTTTGTTTGGCATTGTGAGCTTTGGAACTGGTTGCTTGAAAGTGGCATGTGCAGTGGGTTCATTTTGCTGGTTAGATATTAGCCATTAAACTTCCCTCGCTGCATGAATAATTTTCTTACTTTTTGTGAACTTGACTTTAACAGTTTTAATACGGAATACGTACCTACAGGTTGCATGCAAATACAAGATTTTATATGGAGGTCTTTGGTTCCCCTGCTTCTATCTAGGGCTTCTTGAAGGCTGTATAGAATTATATAATAGATTCGATTATAAAACAAGGACATTGAAGAAAAAAATTGTCAAGAACATTAACAGATGGCAACAGCCTACTAGACCTTAGTTTGTGGTTTCTTAAGATCAGTGTGTTGCTATATTAATTTTCTGAAAATTTGTGCTATTAGATAAATCTTGCAAAGATCTAAAAGGATGTCAATGTTTTCCAAGTGAAGGACTAAAGTAGTATTACGAATTTAATGAAATGACATGTTAATATTTTCAGGACTAACTTAAGAATTTTTTCTCCTATTTTATATCTTGTCATTTAGCAAGGTTTCACATCTCATCAGTGGTAAACCCACTCTCATCAACGTTTGCATCCAGCTTTTCTACGTCGAACGCCTATTCTTAATTTCTTATCCGCTTGTTCTCGTTTTTTTTTTTTCTTTCTTTATTTAGAACTAGTATATCATTAAATTAAAATAAAATTTTAAAATATATTTCATAATTATTTTCAAAAGTTATAAATTAAAGAGATGTTTAGAAAAAGACTATTTTTTTTTATAGGCAAAACAAATCTTATTAAAAAGAGTTCAAGGGGAACTCAAAACTCATATACACAAAAAATTACTTACTCAGAGAAATAAAAAGCAAAAATATACTTATGCAAAATTAAGATAGATGCAATTTCGTGGATTCAAATACCAATCAGCTAACATAATAGCTTCTCTCTTACTAACAAGTGATAACCATTTTCAGGATCTCAGAATAATAGAATCTAGGACTTCCCTCTCATCCAAAACACCATTGAAAAATATAATTCTATTTCTATGCAACCACAAAGACCACACTGTACTTACCCAAATAATTAATAAGCATATTCCTTCTCTTTTACTACAGCCAACACCAACCCAAGAAAGCAAGTGAGTCGATAAATCTGAAGGCAAAATCAGTGAGAATCCAAGCCAACACGCAGTAAAGTACCAGATTTGAGATGAAACTGAGCACGTTAAAAATAAATGAGTTGGAAGTTCCTCCAAACCATGACAGAAACAACAAGTTATATTATCAATTTGAACACCACGATCAATCGTTTAGAAAAAGACTAATTAATTAAACTTTCAACATTAAATTGTTTTCATTGGAATGTTATTGAATTTTAGAAAAATATTTATATATCATTATTTAATTTGAAAACTTAATGATAAAAATATAATGATTTAATTACACATTTGATCTCTATAGTGTCACCTATGTATGATTTTGATTCTCAATTTTAATTCCTCACTTTTAATCTCTCTAATTTTTAAAAATTTCATATTAAATCCTTCATCACAAATTTTTATTTAATAATTAATAAAAATATAAGTGTAAATTTTATTTTTTTATATAAATAAATACAGGAAATATTCAAAGTATATAAATAAAAATACAAAATTAAATATAATAAAAGTTTTTTTATTGTTTTATCTTAATCAGTTTGAAAAACAGGCGCAACTAATCATTCATTCACATAAAATTAAAATTCAATTGGCCCAAAAGACCCATTGCAACTTATAATTGCTATTATTGTTTTATCGATACATTTTTTTAATTTTCCATGATATTAGTAAATAATAATTTCTATTATTGTTTTCAAGTTATATTTTTATACATAAATGGATATAAAATTATTTATTCAGTTTACAATTTAAAATTATTATTTAGCATATTAAAACTTTTCTAATTTTTAAATACTTACATAAAATGATATGGATGATTTTCTTCCCTCAACTTATTTCTTTTACATTTTTTATGAAGTATTATTTTTTCTCCGACAGGCTTAATTATATATATATATATATATATATATATATTTTTATTTTTTTTTATCATTATCACACTTTTATAACAACATATTATTTATATTTTTTCTCGGTCTTTTACCTTCCAACATATTTTCCTCTTCTAACTTATACTATATGAAGTTACTTCTTTTAGTTAGTAAAGTCCCTCGTTTAAAATATTACATATTTAAATATCCCTCTTTGATTTTGAACCTTGTAAATTTATCGCAATTTGTCACAGTTATGTTCGCTGTAGTTTTATTCATTGCGTTGTGTAAATAAATAAATCATTTTATACGTTTGATTAGGAGAAAATTTATTAAATTAAGAAACTTATTGAAGGAATATATACAACGTTAGGGGAAAATTTGCCAAATTACATGTTTCAAAATCTTTTTATGGAGATAAAAAGAAAAAGAAAAATATTAGCTTCGTCTACACCGAAGTTAAGAAGTTAATAAATAATTTTTTATGAAAATATAAAAAATATATGTATATTTTAATATATTTTTATTTTAAATCTTGTTCTTAAAAATGTAATTGTTAATCAAAATATTATAAACTGACAATTACTTGTTTGAATTAACATTCATCTAACGAAATTTGTACAACAAGATAAAACTTACTGGTGAAATTAATTGAATGCATATTATAAAACATATCCAGAAAAAAGAGAATTTCAATTTTAACCAAAAAATAAATGTAATTTAAACTAATCAAATCATATGCAACTGGCATAACACGTAAGAATGCAGGAGGGGCATCCCAACATGCTGGGATGCACCGAGCGAAGAAAATTTTACAGTAACGGGCGGTAGATAAGCGCATTCATAAATTGGTCAAAACGAAGAAAACGGAAATCGGAACTTAAAAGTACCCTGATACAGATACTGTGTTAAATTGATCCAATATCTATCGGCGGAAGCATCTCCAAATCCATCGGCGGCAAGTCGCAGCCACCACCGCCACCACGTTCCAACAACAGTGGCACCAACAATGGTTCTGCCAAAAAGGATGTTCAAAGTGGTCTTGCCTACGGAAATAAATGAAGGGAAAACAATACCAATCAGGCAATATGTTCTCTTCATAAGCATTTGTAGTTTAAAGTTTTAGTATTCCTCTAGTAAGTAGTAATATTTCATTTCCCTATAAATTTACAATATGTATTAATCTTTGATATTCCCGTTGATTATATATGAAAGGTTATTCATCACAAATAGCTTGGTACTTTCTTTGTGAAAATTTTCTTATACGGAAAGATTCACAAATTATATATATATATATATATATATATATATATATATATATATATATATATATATATATATATATATGTAAAAGTTCTTTCATGAATAGGTATATTAAAGTGTATTATTTCTTTCCTTGTGTTATTGATCTTCCAAACTGACTCAGAATTATTAATAGATTCATGAATGTTATTCATCACAAATAGCTTGGTACTTTCTTTGTGAAAATTTTCTTATACGGAAAGATTCACAAATTATATATATATATATATATATATATATATATATATATATATATATATATATGTAAAAGTTCTTTCATGAATAGGTATATTAAAGTGTATTATTTCTTTCCTTGTGTTATTGATCCTCCAAACTGACTCAGAATTATTAATAGATTCATGAATGTTTGGGACTTCCACCAAATCTAAAATGAGCTGATTTTAATAAAAAAAGTAAACATAAAAACCTAATAGATTATAGTTGGTTATACTTTATGAGTAAGATTAATTAATTATTTAAACAATTCTAAACTAATTTAATTAATTTAATTTGAAATTCATGTTCTTTCGTTGTTGTATGTATTGTACCTAAATCAACACACTTATTTGTGGTTCTTACTTCATTTTTATACAACTTTTGTAGCTTGTAGCGTTATAAATATTACAATAGAAATGTTTAATGATTATTTTATTTTTCTTAATTATTTACATTTAAACTTGTAAATACATTTCATGTGGTTCACTCTAATTGCCATTAGGGCAATTCTTCCTACACTCATGAAATAAAAATTCACGTCCTCCTATCCCAAAATACTCCCAACCTTTTGGATAATGCCTACAAAGTATAATGCTAGCTTCCAAATTCACATCTACTTCAAAAGATCTAACCTCCGTGATATGGCACTAGCAACTTGGGATTCTAAATTAGTAATTTATTTTAAAAAGTACGTACAAGTGCATAAAAATTAAAATATATTAAACTACAAAGACGGAGCTATGTAATTTTAAAGTAGAAGAAAATGTAGTGTGATATATATATATATATATATATATATTATTTAAAGAGAAAATGTGATTTATTCTGTAAAATATAAAAATAAAAATAATAAATACATAAAGTGTTTACACTCAAATTGAAAATGATATATAAAAATATTTAATTTTATTCATTTGAAGTATAATTGATTAATATTGAAAAATCATTTTTCTTATACTTGAAGTTTTAAAGGAAATCCAACATAAAAAATTATTCTCATGAATTTTTGAAATTTTTTTTAATAGATATAATTTTCTCAAAGGAACATCTTTTTAATTTTTTATAAAACGAGATTTTAAAAAGTTTAATATGATATTCATTTATAATTTTTGAAATTTTATGTAAATGATTTCATAATTTGTATTGACTAACATGTAACTGACTTTTTTTTAATAATAAAAAAAGTGATATGTTTGTTTTTAGATTTCTATTAATATAAATTTGGCTTTCATATTTAATCCTATATACAATTAAATTATAATTAAATTAATAATATTTAAATAAAATTATAGTTTAAAATAATATATAATTTAAAATTAGATTCTTTCAAACTAATTAATGAGAGTAACTTAGATAAAAAAAAAATAGTATCATATCACTGTTATAATTTTTTCTTCTTGGTTATATAGCCTTAATTAGTTGACATGTGAAAAATAGTTAATTACATAAATGCAGATATTTAAAGTTTTTACACTATTAATTAATTACATAATAAATATGATATTTGTATTAACTATTTTAAAATTAATAAATTTTTATGTAATAATTTATACTTAGATAATAGTGTAAAAGTAT